CGAAACGCTGTGCGTATTAGTGGCTTTAACCATAGTATGTACTAGCTCTATTTAGAAATCCAACATTTTGTTTGTAACTCATCATGTATGTATGTACTTTTACCTGAATAAACATTTATTATTTATTATTATTGTCATAATTGCCATATCACAAACAAATACTGTAGATCTTAATCTGCTTGGCAAAGAATAAATAAATAATAATATGAAAATTATAGCTTAGTAGGCATATACTGTTCAGTAAACCTGGATGAATCTCACAGTGTGTTACTCGAGTTATCTGCCACAATCATTTAGGCGATATAATCACTACATACAATATAGTAACGGGAATCGATAAAACTGACAGGGCAGAATTCCTGAGATCTGGAACTTTAAGAACAAGAGATCACAGATTTAAACTAACTAAACAAAGCTGCCGACGAAATATAAGAAAATTCACTTTCGCAAAAGTGATAGACGGTTGGAACAAGTTAGGTGAGAAGGTGGTGAAGGCCAAAACTGTCAGTAGTTTCAAAGCGTTATACAACAAAGAGTACTGGGAAGACAGGACACAACGAGCATAGCTCACATCCTATAACTACACTAAGGTAATTACAACTAGGGCAGATATTACTTTGATTGCGATGTAATTTTACGTGTTAAACCTCTCCACTTTCAATTTAAAACATAGGTTTTATTGAATGTTAATAAACATGTTTTTTATTCCACTGACACACAAAACTAAGTAGCAGAAGTAGACAAGGAGTAGTAACTTTACCTTACTAGTCACCAGATCATGTACAGAAATTCAGTGTTAGCCATATTCTGCATTGCACAGCACAAGCAAGATATTTCTAGAGCACTTTCTGGGGAACCTACCATATTGAATAGCACTTCATAGATCTGTATCAAAAGAAGCACAAAACCACATCAACTTGCATCTGACAATTGATAATTTTTAATTCAGGTAAGGATTATCTAGTTTCACATTTCCATAAACAATAAAGATCACTTTTCACCCTTTCCGATGACATAAAATATTCAAGGTCCGTCACTATGACTGCCATAATAAATTTCATTTCATAATTTTCCCAGCTCACTTCTAGCCATACCTAGTACTGTACAGAACTGTATTTACATAATCAAATCTAACATCACCTACCATAACATGTACACAAATTATAGTCAAATTACAGGAAGACGTGACGTGTTCTGACACTACAGTTGGCTTCAATTTCCACTCGTGAGTGTGAATCCTAGGTTTGATTCCTGGGTGAGACAAAAATGGTTGGGCACATTTCCATTCACATAATGCCTCTCTCTGTTCACCTAGCAGTAAATAGGTCCCTGGGAATTAGGCAACTGTTGTGGGGTTGCATCCTAGAAAGGATTGGTAGTTCAATCTCGGGGGGGGGGGGACCTCGATACAAGCCTAAAGTATATACAGTGGTACCTTGGTGCACGACTGCCCTAGAGTACGAATTTTTTAATATACGACGTCAAATTTATCGTCAAATTTAAATTGGTGTACAAGATTTTACTTGAAATACGACATCTGTTGATACGTGTATGAGTCGAGCGAGTGCATGGTGCAGGGCAAGGCACACTCAGTTGTTTACCAGTGTATTACACCTAGTAACGACCGCCCTTGAATTCTTTGTAAAGAATTTCATTCTTTTTCTGCTTTTTTGCTTTCTGAACAGTAAAGTTTGTATTATATATCATGCCATGGGTCCCAAGATGAATGGTGAGGGGGACTGGATGGATAGTGAAGGGATTAGATGGATGGTGAAGAGACTGGATGTATGGTGAGGGGACTGGATGGATGGTGAGGGGACTGGATGGATGGTGAGGGGACTGGATGGATGGTGAGGGGACTGGATGGATGGTGAGGGGACTGGATGGATGGTGGGGGACTGGATGGATGGTGAGGGGACTGGATGGATGGATGGATGATGGGAGAAATGGCTGGACGGATAGGGGGTGGATGGATGGATGGGGGAATTAGAAGGATGGATATTGGGTGGATCGATGGATGGATGATGGAGGGGGACTGCATGGTGGAGGTGGACTGGATGGATGGGGGGGACTGGATGGATGGGGGGGGGGACTGGATGGATGGGGGGAGGGACTGGATGGATGGATGGATGGATGGATGGATGGATGGATGGATGGATGGATGGATGGATGGATGGATGGATGGATGGATGGACTGGATGGATGGATTTAGAGACTGGATGGATGGATGGAGGGACTGTATGGATGAATGGATGGTGAGGGGACTGGATAGATGGATGGATGGTGAAGGGACTGGATAGATGGATGGTGAGGGGACTGGATGGACAGATGGTGAGGGGGGGACTGGATGGATGGTGAGGGGACTGGATGGATGGATGGTGGGGAAACTGGATGGATGGAACTGGATGGATGGATGGATACTGGATGGATGGATGGTGGGGAAACTGGATGGATGGATGGATGGATGGATGGATGGATGGATGGATGGATGGATGGATGGATGGATGGATGGATGGATGGATGGTGAGGGAACTGGATGGATGGATGGTGGGGAAACTGGATGGATGGTGGGGGGGGGGACTGGATGGATGGTGGGGGGACTGGATGGATGGTGGGGGGACTGAATTATCTGAACTATCCATTGGATCTCCCAGTGGATGGATGGATAGGGGGACTGGATGGATGGTGGGGGGACTGGATGGATGGTGGGGGGACTGGATGGATGGTGGGGGGACTGGATGGATGGTGGGGGGACTGGATGGATGGTGGGGGGACTGGATGGATGGTGGGGGACTGGATGGATGGTGGGGGGACTGGATGGATGGTGGATGGGGGGGGACTGGATGGATGGTGGGGGGACTGGATGGATGGTGGGGGGACTGGATGGATGGTGGGGGGACTGGATGGATGGTGGGGGGACTGGATGGATGGTGGGGGGACTGGATGGATGGTGGGGATGGATGGATGGTGGGGGGACTGGATGGATGGTGGGGGGACTGGATGGACTGGGGGGACTGGATGGATGGTGGGGGGACTGGATGGATGGTGGGGGGACTGGATGGATGGTGGGGGACTGGATGGATGGTGGGGGGACTGGATGGATGGTGGGGGGACTGGATGGATGGTGGGGGGACTGGATGGATGGTGGGGGGACTGGATGGATGGTGGGGGAACTGGATGGATGGTGGGGGACTGGATGGATGGTGGGGGGACTGGATGGATGGTGGGGGGACTGGATGGATGGTGGGGGGACTGGATGGATGGTGGGGAGACTGGATGGATGGTGGGGGGACTGGATGGATGGTGGGGGGACTGGATGGATGGTGGGGGACTGGATGGATGGTGGGGGACTGGATGGATGGTGGGGGGACTGGATGGATGGTGGGGGGACTGGATGGATGGTGGGGGGACTGGATGGATGGTGGGGGGACTGGATGGATGGTGGGGGACTGGATGGATGGTGGGGGACTGGATGGATGGTGTGGGGACTGGATGGATGGTGGGGGGACTGGATGGATGGTGGGGGACTGGATGGATGGTGGGGAGACTGGATGGATGGTGGGGGACTGGATGGATGGTGGGGGACTGGATGGATGGTGGGGGGACTGGATGGATGGATGGTGGGGAAACTGGATGGATGGTGGGGAAACTGGATGGATGGTGGGGAAACTGGATGGATGGTGGGGAAACTGGATGGATGGATAGGGGTGGATAGATGGATAGTGGGTCAATCCATCTCAAATCACCAAAAAGTCACCTATGGCTCCCACTTGGCCCTCTCCAAATGCCATGAAATTTTGTAGTAAGATAGCCCTAGACACCAAATGACACTTTGCAAAATATTAGAGCTCAATCTGCTTTGGTTCTTAAATAACAGGTCCATATTCAATGGGCTCTCGTCCCGTTAATGCGTAAATACCACAAAAAATGACCAACTTTGACCCTTTGTTAAATCACTTCTATTGCCTGTAGGAGTGTGAAATTTGACATACCAGGACAACGTTTGGTGTAGAATAACGTAGTGTAATCGAAAAAGCAGTATGGGTGGCCATTCAGCTATCCATCCATGCAAAAATCACTGCTAAATTTTGTTGCGAGAAATTTCAGGATTAATACGGAAGGCTTCTTTGGTACCAGTAGGTGGATCAGGAGGCAGACTACCTGACATTAAACTCTTGTTGTTTACTGACTGTGAAAGCCTGACTGTAAATGGCTGAATGACTGTAAATGGCTGAATGACTGTAAATGGCTGAATGACTGTAAATGCCTGACTGACTGTAAATGCCTAAACAGTTGCTACCACAACTGTGAATGCTTGACTGACTTGTGACCAAGTGACTGGTTCTGACTGGCTGCCACATAACATAGGCAGTGAATTGTTTGAAAGGAAAATCTGAACCAGTGATGCAGATATGAAAGCGTTTAAGGCGAGCAGGGGACGGTCTCACCACCACCTCCCTCCTCCTCACCCTCCCCATACACAAACACCACTCCTCCCTCCTCCCTGTCTCCCATATGCCAACAAGAGTCCTTAGTAAAGGTAAAGTACAGTTAAATGTTCACTTATTTTATTTATGGTTTATATTTATACATGATTGTTTTGTGTGTGAAAAATATGAGTAGTATTCTGCATAAAATGTATTTTTAAGTTTATAATTTTGGGGGTGTAGAATAGATTAATTAAATTTACATTATCTCTTATGGGAAAATTTGTTTGGGTTACAAATTTTTGGTGTACGACGCGTCTTTGGGAACGGATTAGGATTGTAACCGAAGGTACCACTGCACTGTACTGTATACTGTATATACAGGCTTCTCTCCCTGACAATATACAGTATTACCAAACATTTTACTCAACAATGGGGGAACTCTGCCTTGTATAAGATAGATTTCTGCTGTACAAGCCTCATTACTAGTAATGTTGGACCAATCTGCTCAACTACATGCAAGAATCATTACTTTTTTCCTCTATTTGACTCAATCTTCATAATGATACTCACTCCTTTAAGGAAATACTCCAAGTATAAAGCGGCTTCTCGTATGACATCTACCGAGGCCATTGTTTCTGTGGAAGGGTAGGGGTAGCCTCTGTTGCACGATGACAGGATGATGATGTAGTTATTGTTGTTGATTTAGGAAACAACAGAACAGTTCCTCATGTACTCTGCTGGTCCCTTGTCTGGGTAAAATACTTAAGCCTTGCTGCTATACATTGCCTTTTGGCAGAAAGATAACTCTGGCTTAAAGCAGGTAAATGCACTGCTCAGATACCCCTGGCTATTCCCAGGATGGTGAGCACAGAGCCCCCAACAAGTCCAATTTGAGGGCTATTTAATGATCCCCAATGACTCCAGACGCTATAGACATCACACATCCTTTGAACTCTGCTCTGACAAAAGCACATCAGCACCTTCAAATGAGCTCTGGCACGGCAGGACAGACACCCACCATGTCCTGAGGTAACACCGGCAGCCCACCAAACTCCAGGAACACTGATGCAGATCAAGACAGCCACCTCCTGTGGAGAAATACTGTGGTGCAGTTCAAGATAGCCACCTCCTATGATGGATAAAGATAATTATGTTCTGTTGGAGAATACTGTCATGTATGTCAAGACAGCCACCTCCTGTTGGGAACACTGATGTAGGAGGTCAAGACTGTCGCCTCCTGTGGAGGGAGCACTGGTGCAGAAGGTGAAGACAGAAGACAGCTGTCTCCTGTGAGATAACACTCGTGCTGTAGGTCAAGACAGCCGCTTTCTGTGAAAGGGACACTGGTGCAGTAAGTCAAGACAGCCGCCTCCTGTTGAGGGGACAGTGGGGGTACACGGGCAGGAACCACCTCTCTCGCTCTCGCTGTTTACATACATAGCCGCGTTCGTCTCTCAAAAACATATTTATTTATGGGCACTATTATCAAATTGCAAATAGGTATCTTCTTTTATTATTTATTGAAATATTCATATAAATTTAGTGTTAAATTTATGTATTCGAGACGTTGAAAATTAATAAGATTTGTATTTGTTTAAAGATGAACGTAACTACTTTGCTCTGAATTGGCGACTTCTTCAAGAAGGGAGAAATAGCCTAAGCTACTCTACCCCTTTGAGATGTATTGTTTTCTTGTCTCAATAAACATACTTGAACTTGAACTTGAACCACAAACTTATCGGTCACATTGTGGAAGTTAGTTTAGTTCATTTATTATGCACCCCATACCCATCTTGTGGGCGGTAGTGGAAAGGGTTACAGAGGCACATAATGGGCTCAGGGACTGAACCCCACAATTCATTTAGCTAAGCAAGTTACAATCTTGATGAGCTAGTTACAAAATTCAATATAAGTCGTCACATCAACAATGGGTTCGAGATCGACCACATTGTGGAAAAAATATATATTAATCCTAAGGATTTTCCAAGTTCAACGTTTAACTATCTTAATTGGCAATTATATATACATAACAGCTTAGGCATTAGGTATTTCCATGGATTAAACTATAAAAGAGAATGTTTGTTCAAGGAAGGAGGATGTTTGAGAGGAGCCTCACCAACCTTTCACACATGAAGCATGTGGGGTATGGGAGCATCATAGGCCACTCGGGATCATCACCAGTGCCACACTATATCAGCATCAAACCCCCCCCCCTCTTTCCCTCATTTCTTTCGAGATTTTAATGACATGAATATTGGTTGCGTTACCTGTAGACCTATTTAGCAGTTTCAGTGCTTTCTTTACATACTTTTTTCTGAGAGACATCAAGAGCTAGGAATGAGATGTAACGTACGTTTATGTTACATTGTTGGGTAGATTAGATACACAGTGTTTAATGGGGTTTGATATTTATTTAGTAGTCTTGGTTACAGTAGTGTCGTAGACGTTGAGACGGAGCTTGGAGCAGAGCAGAGAGCCGAGTGCGGCCGGAGTCGCGGAGCTCGATGGGGGACGGTGTGTGTCTAAACTCAATGGGTAACGAGAGCGTGGGAGCTCGATGCGGTCGGAATCTACTGTCTGCTCTGTGTGGAAGCTGGTGCGTCTTGGGGTCGGTCAGAACTGCATAAACCGAGTGCTACATTCTGGACTTTGAAGGTGTGTGGTAACTCCCAATCTTATGTACTGAAGTTAACTGAAATACTGTGGATATTTTACTGATGGTTACTCGCTTCTCGATTGCTTATATGAACATCTATAATGTTCACATTTATAACCTGTTGTTGTTGTTGTTTTAGATTCAACTATTCAGAACAAAAAGTTCCAAGTAGCACGGGCTATGGTGAGCCCGTAAGTGGAGGCTCTTTGGAGCCATTATCTGTATAAATAGCTGATACTAGAGATCAGGGGATGGATAATAATAATAATAATAATAATAATAATAATAATAATAATAATAATAATAATAATAATAATAATTTTTATTTAGGCAAAGGTACATACATAAAGAGATTTTACAAAGTTTGTTGGCTTTATAGATAGAGCTAGTACATACAATGCCTAAAGCCACTATTACGCAAAGCGTTTCGGGCAGTTTCGGGCAAAGCGTTTTGTGGCAGCGGGTCTTGTGTGGATGGGGTCTTCATGGTGGTTTTCAGCCCTGGAGGGCTGGCTGTCCCAGTTATGGAACTGGTGGGGGTTAGTGTAAACCTCTAGGTCTTCCGTTTTTTCTTTGACTCAGACTGGCTGAGCCGTGCTGTCTTTGGAGTTTGATGAGGTGGCCTCCATGAGGAAGTCTTGTACCGAGTAGGTGTCATATCTATGGTGCGGCGGTGGAGCTCCTACTAAGATTTCCTCGTCTGAGGAGTCCATAACCTCCGTAGTTGGTGTTTTCGTCTTTCCCCTCGCAGCCTGAGGTAGCTATTTCAGGAGCGTTGGTGGTGCTGTTAGCAATTGTAGACAGCACGTACGTCAGCTAGCGCGGCTGTTGAGCAGGTGATGGTATGAGTGTTGGGAGCTGGAGAGGAAAATACCTCTGTGTCTCCCTGGTCTTGGGACAGGTTCCTTGGACGTGGCCCCTTGTTGCCCCCTTGAAATAGCGCCCAAGCAACTGGATGGTTGAAAGCTCTTCAATCCACTCCAAGTGTAATGAAAACCATGTGAAGTGATAAAAGTGTGTGGTGCTTCTAGTGCTTAGTGATAACCATGTGATGCGATAACCGTGTGAAGTGATAACAATGTGAAAGGATAATAGTGATTTCCCTGGTCTTGGGTGATCCTGGAGTCTGTGTTGAAATCGACCTGGTTGTAGTCTCTGGAGTGATAGTGGAGGCAGTGAGACTTGCGCCAGGGGGCTATGAAGGGGTCCAGGTCATTGGCCAGGTATATTATGTTCAGTTCACTAACAAAACGGTGGTTGTCTGGTCCTGCAAACCTCTCCGCTAGTCTAATAAGACCAAGGATAATGCCTGCACGTGATGCAGGGGGTTGTGAAGGAGCCTGAAAGAGGACCTTGGGTCCCCATTGTGAAGGCTGGGTCGCCTGGTTGGAGGAGCCACTCTTTAGTAAGGCTGTAAAGTCTACTGGTCGGTTGGTGGGAGCTGAGGTGGTGGGTTGAACACCTGGGGCTGGGGAGGTAGAAGGGTTGTTTCTTTTGGCTTCAACCTGGACCTTGATGTTTTCCAGTCTGCGGGGGCAGCGGTAGGAAATTACGAGGTCATTGCAATCACAGAGCAAGCAGCGATGGGTTGTTGCCTTGCATATGGAGTAGTGATGGGTTGTTGCACAGAGGCTGTACTTCTGGACGGGGTGCTGACACTTGTTGGTGGGGTGGGAGAGCTCGTTGCACTTGAAGCACTGCTGGATCTCATGGTATCGTTCCTTATTTACTTGGCGGGGTTGTATTTGTAAAGTGAAGCAGAAGAAGCCTTGTGTGGCAGCCTGTGTGGCCGCGGCTATGGTGGTAAAAGTAATCTTCATTGATGATTTGTCTGTGCTGCCGAACTCTAGGTTGAATACACCCAGGTTCGGATTTTTGTCCTCGATAATGTCCATGATCTTATTTTACAGTCGGTCAACGATCCACTGGCTGGTCCTGCTGGTAAAAGCAGTTCTTCTGGCCAGGAACTGACGTGGAAAGTAAGGATGTAGGTGGTGCTCCTTGCGAAGTATGGCATCGTTGGTCCAGAGCTGTTCTAGTTCTTCCTCACATGAAAAGAAGACCACGATATCTCTTCCTGACTAAAGTCAGTGGGTGTGATGCCGGTAACATCCTTCAGGACCTTTAGATTATCGCTTTTACCGAAAGCATGACCGGCAAGGGGGGGGGGGGGTCATAACCTTTATAACCTCATAATCTCTTAACCTATAGACGTTTCGATCGCATTGTGTCCACACCCTCAACGGGTAGCAGTGAGTGAACTACACCTCATCTCATCATTGGTTGGAAGGAATGTTAACTGTAATTAGGGAAAAAGTATGAGTGACGTCATTAGTGCTAATGAGATTTGCTTCCTCATTAAGCTAATTTATTTGGAGCGAGTATATTGTTTATACTGGCTACAGAGGGAAGAGAGAGAAGGAAAGAGAAGGGGGGAGGGAATGTTTGAAGATAGGGAATGTGAAGGGGGATGTTTGAAGAGGGTAAAAGAGAGAGGGCGGGAGAAAGGTGGACAGGGGAGAGGAGAGAGACAGGAGAGGGGAAGATAGGAGAGGAGAGAGACAGGAGATGGGGGAAGGGAGAGGTGAGACAGATGGGGGAGGGGGTTGAGGTAAGAAATGGAAGGAGTGGGGAAGAGGTGTAAACAAAAGAAGAGGGGAAAGAAAGATCAGGGTGGAGCCGAGTTATCTTGTGTAAAAAAGGATCTGTCCTACATTGAGCTACAATGTTGCTTCTTCTGTGAATTAAAATTGTAACCAGCTTTAAGTTCAACAATAACAATGTTGGACCAAAAGCAAATATTCTGTTTCATAAACATATACTGTATAGAGTATTAAACCCATGTCATTGCCTACTCACCAAAACCAAAAATATCATGAAACCCTTCATTTTCAGCTTGAAAATATCCTTGGTGATAATGGTGGGACTTTTTGGCAAGCCACCAGCTTCTTGCAAGGCCACTAGGGATGATGATCCTCAGGTAAATTTAGGTAAAAAGGCTAGGGGGGCTAGAATGGGGACCAATACTTAACTGTTCACCTAGCAGAAATTGGGATTTCTGGTTGAAATCAATTAATTTGATGGGTAGCATTCCAGGGGAAACTATAATAGGGTACAAAAGGTTTAGCATGAACCATGGAAAGGGAAAGCTTCAAGTCTGCTAATAGGATTCACAAGCCACCTAGATCTACTGCACTCACATGTGTCATAAATGTTCAGGTTGATTGTGTGACTGTTTTTTGTTCTTACTAGGTGGGGTACAGTAAATGAGTTCTGACTCATTTTGGCAGTCTGAGAGCTTTCCACTCTCATAGCAAGCTTTACCCTGCTAGTTCCCCTGTAACATTTATAACTACATCTTCAATTACTGCCGGATGAACAAATGCAAACAGTTAAGGATATTATGCAATGATAATTTTAGCAATTCTGTGAACCATCCACAAGGAGCCAGACAAAGGCTTCACAAACAACAATGCTGTTAAAATCGACCCATGTAGTGAAAGTTCATCTGGTTTAACATTAAGTTGGTACTTGTCCAAATAGCAAATAACCTTAGTGACCATGTTGGCTCTTATATGTTGATAAAGCAAGCATCAACAAATGTCAACAAATCTTCAGCTTCAGCATTCCATTTTATTGTATGTTTATTTTACAAATATTAGTAGCCTATAATGCATGTACTGTTGGATCTAGATGTACAGTACTAGTTTTTTCCATAAATACCATCTTTCCATTGTCAGTTTATTGGTCTATACTCTAATAACTCCTGTTATTAGACTATAATTATTTTTGGCTAATTAAATTAAAATTATTTCTGTACTGTATTTGGCTCGGTTTTGATTTCACTTGACACTACAGTTTGCCTTATGACTGGCAATGATTTGCCTACATTAGTGACAGCATTGCTAACAGCTTCCCCATGGATTGAGCAATGTTCAACTGGAGGCAGTCCAAAAGTCATGCTGTTCAGTGGTCCTTCTGTTATTGCTGGTCAATGCCTTAATCTAGAGCAGCCTCAGACACTTGAGATACGCTGGGAAAGTACTGTAATTATCAAATGGCACCAATCTGGTTAGATTATTTAGCACTATCCATGTCTCGGGATATTCCAAAGATACATTGGGCAAGCGAGGTGGAAAAAGTCTGGTATTTCAAAAACTTTTTTTTTAACCTTGTTAGTATTTCAATAAAAAAAAAAAAAAGACTAGATTGCAGTGCAGAGATTTTTTTTATAAATTTGATAAGTGGACAGACAAGTCTGTTGAATTTTGTTATAATGGTTTAATTAAATATTTAAGTTAAGAACTTATGACAAAGTCTGCTGAAATTAATAGCTAAGCATAAAATGTAACTAAAACAAGGGAATAAAATATCAACAATTTATTAAACCATCTATACAATCATATTTTACAATTTCAAACCTATTATACAAGTTTTTATGATGATGATCTACAAAATTATTAATTAAACTGTACTTCATACAGCAATAAAGAAATATAAAAAGTTTTGTACGTATACAATTTGTTCATTGTAGAATTATAAAACCCAATTATATTTTACCATTATGAAACAATGGTATAACTGAGAAGCATGCACACATCATCATCTTAAATATACACCAGCAATGGCTAATTCTGGAATGCTTCTGCACAATTTTTTTTTTTGCACAATACATTTCAAGATTGCTTCTTTTTTGTACATTTTACACGTGCATGAGCAAGACAACAAATATTTCTAGGATATAATTATCTGGGATATTTTATTTACTATTATTTAGTATTTTTAGATTGCTCAAATACTAATTTACTAAAAAAAACTTTTACAGGTATTTCATAATGTGCACAAATTACATGTAACTGGATAACTATTATTATTAACAATTCCTTTAACAGATTCAATGGATGTAGCACAATCATGAGGCATCTTTTTTTATAGACTAATTACCTGTTGCCAGTGATAATATAGATTTTTGTGTTGATCATTCACATGTTTTATTGTTCCATTAGTATTCTTCATATATAAGACAGGTTCAATCTATATTTTTTAGCTGTGATAATTTTAATCCTAGATTAGAACATTTTTTCAGCTAACAGTGTCAGGTTTTGCAGATGTGGCTCCTCCTACAGCGGCTATGACTGCAGCGCTGAACATTGTTTTCTTGTCTTCGTGAGAACTTCGCCAAGAGACCTGTAACATAATTACGTCATTACTTGGTCGTGAACCTTCAGGAATATAATTTACAAAAATAATTAAATTCTTCAATATCAAATATAAAGTTGCTTATAAAGCTACTATATTTGCATTAAACCCCTTTTACTTAGCTAACAGAAGTCAAATATTTATTACATTATCCCATCACACATCTGTGATAATTCCTACCTCCACTCTATGTGAACATAGAGAAATTGGTATAGAATTATGAAAAGTTATTCATGATCAATTTGCAGTTAGCTGGAGCAAGAAAGGGGTAATGTAATATCACCAAGGTTGCTGATTGCTTTAATCAATCAGTAATTTGGGAAGTCATGGCTCATAACTAAGGAGAGGAGACATTAGAAAAGGATAGCACACAGGGGATGCTGTTGCATATAATGAACACTGATGTAGCAAGAGATGGTGGTAGAGTTGACGTAAAGAATTTTTATGATCGTTATCTTGAGATGGTTTTGGGGCTTAGCGTCCCCGCGGCCCGGTCCTCCTTTTTGTTACACACCCCCAGGAAGCAGCTCATAGCAGCTGTCTTACTCCCAGGTACCTATTTGTTGCTAGGTAACAGGGGCATCAGGGTGAAAGAAACTTTTTACCCATTTGTCTCTGCCTCCACTGGGGATCGAATCCAGAACCTCAGGACTACGAATCCGAAGCGCTGTCCACTCAGCTGTCAGGCATCCTTGATCGTGCGCCCATATATATCGTGCCTATATATTAACCACGGCATTGCGCAGAACGCCTTGTGGTTCTAGATCGAGGGTGCGCAGAGTGCCACGTGGCATTTTTAGGTACAGTGAGTGATTCAAAACTCTTGTGGGTACATGGAGCTCACATCCTGTGTCTCAGGACTCCTGTAAACATACGCCATCTTGAAAAAAATTGTCAGCATCCGTACTGGCTGTGAGAGCCTTAGTGCTAAGAGAGAGCGATCAAGGCTGGCACATGCAGCAGCAGCGCACAGAACCGCCGTGCAGCTAGGGGCTACTGCACGCACCACTTAGTAATGATGAATAAAATAGGTAACTTTAATTATTTTGCATTGATAGTGTTATAGATGATCCTGACTGTCATAAAGACTATACAATGTTCAAAAAAGTGAACACAATGTAGTTACAATATTCACAGCATGATGTTTGTGTTGTCTGCTTGTGGCTCCATACTGTGTTTTGATTTCATCACCATACCCACCAGAACTGCTAATTAGTATGTTATGGTGCATATAAATGAGACAGATCATCATAGCCCCCTTTCACCCAAGGCCGGCTTTCTTCATAACCCGACAGAAGGAAGAGTAATAATTATTAATTAATAATTATTACTCTTCCTTCTGCTTGGTCTTGAAAGAAGCCAGCCTTGGGTGAAAGGGGGCTGTGATGATTGGTGTGAAACCCATGGGTGCGGGGCTTGGACATCCACCTCCTGGGGCTCGTGCGGCCCTAAGTTCTGCTTCAGGAGGCTGGGGTCATTCTTGCCCTTGCTGGGGTGGTTCTCCTCCAGCCCTGACCATGGCTGTCTCCAGGTTTGGAGTTCCTGTGCCTTCTTTTACCAACTTCGAGGTAACCTTCAGAGCAGGAGTCCCCAGGGCAGTTTAATGTTGCCTTTAACTTCGTTCTGACAGTTCCTGGGATGGTGCTGGAACCAATCGTATTGGCATTTGCTCTTTCAGTGGAGACTTTCAGCGCCGTGGAGAGGGGAGACCTGGTGTATGGGTGACAGCTTCTCCCCCGTATCAACCTACCCTGGCTTTGCACCCCTGGAAAAGCCACTCCAGACTGACAACCACAGTGGAACCCCATAGTCTCCTTAGACTGATGGATGCCTACTACTACTAAATGTTGATATATAACATGCATATATAACATAATAACAAGAACACTGGTTGATCTAATAATATGTGTCATCATATATCAGCTCCATATTTTTGAGAACAGCGAAGTTCCACATATTTAACTACATACATTCCATATATTTCACACTATTGAATAAAATTAGTGCAAAAAACTAGATATAAAACTATTCACAAACACTGAAATAATTATGTAAAAATGTAATTGGGGCAGCCTATGCCACACTCAGCTGTTGGCCACTAGGTTGACCTTGGATTCTTGTTCTGTGTATATAAACTCTCAACACACGATCCTTGTGGTTCATTATGGTGCACAAACATGTAGATATATACAAAGTGTGTATATAGTGTAATAACAGCAAAAACACTGTTTGATTGATTGTAGACTATAATATACATGTCACATATATGAGCCCCATAATTTTGAGCACTGCAATGTTCCACACATTGAACTATATAAATTCCACAAATTACATAATTTTGAATATTACAGAAAAAAAAAAAAAAAAAAAAAAAAAAAAATTAACATCAAAATTATGACAAATTATTTGCGGCAACTGCTGGCCCACAGGGTGGTGGGGTCAAGTGACCCCGAGCGCTTCATCGCTCAGCGCCCATTATTTGCTAAACTTCTCGGCTCTATCATGGCTAAAGTATGTCATATACAATATTATTGTTTAGTTTCCCGTGATCAGACTGCATTTGAACAATACAAGAGAAAATAATTTTTGGCAAAGAATTTATTTTCAGTGCACTACAGGAATGTCATATTTTAAGGCCGCACAGCACGGTGGTTAAAATGCACTCCCAACTTAAATAGACAGACATATGGTTTGTGCCAAAAATACTATTGGTTATATGAGGAAGGATGGATAAATTTTAAATGTTGGATCAACAGTATATATAATAAAGAAATGCATGTGTATAAATACAATAAAGTAAATTCCTGCAACATTACTAATACTGACAGCATAATTAGTGAATCAACCTACTGCTGGTTAGTAAGCTAACTTTAAACAAGCATTCACTGACATCTGTTTATATTCAAAGATGGAAGATTATGTCAAGGAATGCCACTGGCTGGCATGATATGGCTGCCTGGGGAGTTCAGGAATATGGGTCTGATTCCATCCTATGGTCTCATCATTTATACATAGTATGAGTCACCATTAGCAATACACACTCATTGGGTTTAGACCATGGTTCAACCCGACGTTCCAGTAGGTTGGTTAATGCTGGGGAGCAGTGGCAAGGAAGGGACTTATGCTTCACCATGTGTGTATCTTGTCATCCTAGATCAAGACTCCATAAATCACTGATGGAGTTATTATAGTTTATGAAACTATGACAGACCAGCGAGTGTGATGATCTTGGGGTAATAGAATTATCCTGTAAATACTTAAAAATTTGTTAAATCTAGATTGGGACCTACCTTTAGGAAAATGACTTCTATATAGACGTACCATGCAATTTACCAGAGCAGACCCATCAATGAGTGAGTTTCCCATAATATTAGCTCAGTTAGTGAAGACACTGAACTACTTGCAAATGACATTAATGAAGGTTTAGTATGAAAGGCAAGTGATGGTTTTTGGTTAAGGAATGCTTAACTTTACAACTCTTAGCGTGCTTGCTGTGTATAGTCTTCTACGATCATGTTCATTTAAACTGTTTCCACCATAAAGAACTAATGCCATTATACCGGTAATTCATTTACAACACCATGTTATAATACTAAGTGTAAAGTGATCTTCACACGTCACATTCAGATATGGTAAGCCAAGACACAAATATACAAACTACTGTACTAAGGAGAATGCTTACTAGATTGTCTGTTAGATAACTGATCATACCTTATATTTCTTATGCTGAACAGCTGCTTCTGCTCTACGTCGCATAATTTCTTCTGTAAAAACACCTTGAAGGGATGCATATGTTGTCATTTGCCAGTCTAATGCCAAGTTAGTGATTTCTCTGCCTGACATGCCTTCAGTAATTTTGGCCACAGCTGAACATGCTTTACTGTAGTCAAACTCTGCTACTTTTAATCTCCTGTAAATTAATAAAAATTATTGTATTTTTTTACTATACTGTGCATTACAAGGAATAGTGAAGAACTGTTTAATTGTAGCATCCCTAATTACACAATAATTTGACATAAAAAACCAGCATTGAATGTAATGAAACGCTATATTCTGGGTGAGTCCCGGAGGTTTCCCGGAGCTATCCAGGCTGATATGCTATTGTCAGACTTAGGCATCAGTCATGTGTATGGAGTTCTGTCGGGCCTACCGGGGACCACGAGCCAGAACCTGGCCCCCTTACAGAGGCACGAGGAGCAATAGCCTATAGAAACCCCTCCAAGTGGTTGGAAGAATTCTATGTCTGCCATCAACCAGGTTAGGCACCCAGAAAGGTAGGCATCCCAAAACAAACCACTATTCTGATGAAAATTGCTACAAAAAGCCAAACAAGTAGATAGAACTCCCCAAACAGAAACGAGCAAACAAGTATGACACGTCGAAGCGCCGCCATTTGCGCGGTTCCCCCCCTACCCGGGAGGGGACATAGAATGCTTCCAACCACACGGGGGTTTCTATAGGCCATTGCACCTCATGCCTTTGTGAGGGGGCCAGGTTTTGGCTCGTGGTCCCCGGTAGGCCCACAGAACTCCATACACATAACTGATGCCAAAGTCTGACATTAGCATATCAGCCTGGATAGCTCTGGGGAACCGACAGGGCTCCCCCCAGAAAATTAGGTTAAAAAATCTAGTGTAAGGCCACATTTTCCTTTTTGGCTGCTGTGAGGTATTGCAAGACTTGTGCACCAAATACTGCTGATTAGTAGTACTTTTTGGGGAAAATGTAGAAAAATATGAAACCAGTGTAGCTCCATTATCTCATTATCTTAATGGCATAACTAATTAGCACTAACTACACAAGCTACAATCCTATCCCTATTTACAGATAACAGTTCTTCCATCCACATCTTCTAGTGTTCTTCCATCAACCTCTCCTAGCGGAGGAAGCCGAGATGTAGTCACCGAATAGCGAATAGTCGACAGTACAATTTCCAGTCAAGAATGTAGCACTTGGCGTAGGTAGTTCTAATACTCTCCAAGATGCTACAGCTTCAACACAGAACAGACAGCAGACTAGGACCGCATCGAGCTACAACGCTCTCCCACAGAGCTCCGTGATTCCGGCCACTCACAGCTCTCTGCTCTGCTCCAAACTCTGTCTCAACATCTACGACATTGCTGTATCCAGGACTACTAAATAAATATGAAACTCACTAAACACTGTGTATCTAATCTACCCAACAACGTAACATAATCGTACGTTACACCCGTGACTATGTCAGTCTACAATAGTAAAGGTACTAGATGTGGCAAAAGAAGAATTTGAACATTAAGTAATTAGCACACGAGACATAAAGGGACAGGAGGCAAAAAGACAGTCTCTGAGATGTAACACTCGTCCTAAGCTTCACAAGAGATTTAGTCTGGGCTTGAGTCCTGGCCAGAGAGGATTGTCTAGGTGCCACTCTAACTCTGCCTCAGTTCACTTAGCTGTAGTTGGGTACCTGGTTGCTAACCGTTTGGCAAGTCGTGTTACAGGGAAAACTAGTATAAGGTTTGTTTTGAGCAACGGGAAGGGAAAACTCTCAGCCAGCTAACAGGCATCAGGAGTTGTCTGTTCTTTTGTGTGTGTGTGTGTGTGTGTGTGTAATTACCTAAGTGTAATTACCTAAGTGTAGTTACAGGATGAGAGCTACACTCGTGGTGTCCCGTCTTCCCAGCACTCTTTGTCATATAACGCTTTGAAACTACTGACGGTCTTGGCCTCCACCACCTTCTCACTTATCTTGTTCCAACCGTCTACCACTCTATTTGCGAAGGTGAATTTTCTTATATTTCTTCGGCATCTGTGTTTAGCTAGTTTAAATCTATGACCTCTTGTTCTTGAAGTTCCAGGTCTCAGGAAGTCTTACCTGTCGATTTTATCAATTCCTGTTACTATTTTGTACGTAGTGATCATATCACCTCTTTTTCTTCTGTCTTCTAGTTTTGGCATATTTAATGCTTCTAACCTCTCCTCGTAGCTCTTGCCCTTCAGTTCTGGGAGACTCTAAGTAGCATGTCTTTGCACCTTTTCCAGTTTGTTGATGTGCTTCTTAAGATATGGGCACCACACAACAGCTGCATATTCTAGCTTTGGCCTAACAAAAGTCATGAACAATTTCTTTAGTATATCGCCATCCATGTATTTAAATGCAATTCTGAAGTTAGAAAGCATTGCATAGGCTCCTTGCACAATATTCTTTATGTGGTCCTCAGGTGATAGTTTTCTATCTAGAACCACTCCTAGATCTCTTTCTTTATCAGAATTCTTTAAAGATTTCTCACATAATATATAGGTTGTGTGGGGTCTATGTTCTCCTATTCCACATTCCATAACATGACATTTATTAACATTAAATTCCATTTGCCAAGTGGTGCTCCATATACTTATTTTGTCCAGGTCTTCTTGAAGGGCATGACAATCATCTAAATTTCTTATCCTTCCTATTATCTTAGCATCATCAGCAAACATGTTCATATAATTCTGTATACCAACTGGTAGATCATTTATGTACACAATAAACATCACTGGTGCAAGAACTGAACCCTGTGGTACTCCACTTGTGACATTTCTCCATTCCGATACATTGCCTCTGATTACTGCCCTCATTTTTCTATCAGTCAGAAAATTTTTCATCCATGATAGAAGCTTACCTGTCACCCCTCCAATATTTTCCAGTTTCCAGAACAACCTCTTATGTGGAACTCTGTCGAAAGCCTTTTTTAGGTCCAGATAGATGCAGTCAACCCAACCATCTCTTTCCTGTAATATCTCTGTGGCTCGATCATAGAAACTGAGTAAATTCGATACACAGGATCTTCCAGATCGAAAACCATACTGTCTGTCTGATATTATATCATTTCTCTCCAGGTGTTCTACCCATTTAGTTTTGATTAGCTTTTCCAATACTTTCACTATTACACTTGTCAATGATACAGGTCTATAATTGAGGGGGTCTTCCCTGCTGCCACTTTTGTAGATTGGAACTATGTTAGCCTGTTTCCACACGTCTGCTACGATTCCTGTACACAGGGATGCCTGAAAGATCAGGTGAAGTGGAATGCTGAGTTCAGATGCACATTCTCTCAGAACCCATGGTGAAACGCCATCTGGGCCAGCTGCTTTGTTCTTCCTGAGCTCCTTTAGCATATTTTCCACTTCATCTCTAGACACCTCTATCCGCTCTATGTTGTTCTCTGGAATTCTTATTGTGTCTGGTTCTCTGAAGATTTCATTTTGTACAAACACACTTTGGAACTTTTCATTTAATGTTTCACACATTTCCTTTTCATTTTCTGTGAATCTGTTTCCCATTTTCAACCTCTGGATATTATCCTTTACCTGCAATTTGTTGTTTATGAATTTGTAGAATAGGCCCGGTTCTGTTTTACATTTATCTGCTATCCCTTTTTCAAAATTTCTTTCTGCCTCTCTCCTTACTGCTGTATAGTTGTTTCTCGCATCTTTGTATCGCTGGTATGTTTGGGGGTTTGGCCTCTTCCTATACTGATTCCATTTTTGTGTCTTTTGGTCTCTTGCCCTCTCACAATTTCTGTCGAACCAATCCTGTTTTCTGGCCCTGCATCTCTGTTTTGGTATGAATGTTTGTGTGCCTTCCTCGTATAGTTTTAAAAATTTGGCATACATTTCATTTACTTCCCTGCCTAGCAACAATTCTGTCCAATTACACTCATTAAAAAAATTTCGAAGTTCCCCATAGTTGCCTCTCCTTAAATCGAGTTTATCAACTGTTTCAATGTCCCCATTTTCTTCTAGATGATATCTTAAAGCATATTTAATGTCTAACAGGACGTGATCACTCTTTCCCAAGGGAGGAAGGTACTGGATGTCAAAAATCTCTTCTTCTTTCCTGGTGAATACTAGATCCAGTACTGACGGTACATCTCCTTCCCTCATTCTTGTGGCTTGCTTTATGTGTTGATACAAGAATGTCTCCAGAATGAGGTTCACAAATCTGCATGTCCAAAAGTCCTCCGTTCTTGCTTCATAGGCCTCCCAGTCTATTGCTCTAAAGTTGAAGTCCCCTAGTATCAACAGTCGTGATTTATCTTTATCTGCTTGTACAATAATATCTCTCATGACCATTATGAGGCCCTCTCGTTTGTCATCCAGTTCTTCCTTTGTCCAGGTGTTGCTTGCTGGTGGGCTGTAGGTATTTACAATTATCAGCTTATCATCCTGATTCCAGACCTGCAATGCCATTATGTCAATATCTCGAGGGTTTTCAAATATTAACTCTTTTACCTTCAGGTGTTTTTTCACCAGTACAGCCACTCCTCCTCCCTTCCTAGTTTTCCTGTCACGTCTCCAAACTGAGTAGCCTCTTGGGAATATGACTTCATTTATTATATTTCCTTCAAGTTTCGTTTCTGATAATGCAACAATATCTGGGACCCTAAGCTGGATTATATCTTGCAACTCCAAAGTTTTTGTGTGTGTGTGTTTTGAGAGTGTGTGTGTGAGTGAGTGAGTGTGTGAGTGAGTGAGTGAGTGTGAGAGTGAGTGAGTGTGAGAGTGAGTGAGTGTGAGAGTGAGTGAGTGTGAGAGTGAGTGAGTGTGAGAGTGAGTGAGTGTGAGTGTGAGTGTGAGTGTGAGTGAGAGTGAGAAACTGTGAATGGAGTCTCCACCACATCACTTCCTAATGTGAGAGTGTGAGTGAGTGAGTGAGTGAGTGAGTGAGTGAGTGAGTGTCGTGAGTGAGTGAGTGAGTGAGAGTGAGAGTGTGAGTGTGAGTGAGTGAGTGAGTGAGAGTGAGAGTGTGAGTGTGAGTGTGTGTGTAATTACCTAAGTGTAGTTACAGGATGAGAGCTACGCTCGTGGTGTCCCGTCTTCCCAGCACTCTGTCATATAACGCTTTGAAACTACTGACGGTCTTGGCCTCCACCACCACCTCACTTAACTTGT